TTTTTTTTTTGGTTTTGTATATTGATGCAGATCTGTTTCACCTCGAGATGGGAGGTACAGAGAGAGGTCTTACTCAAGGTCATCGTATGGGTCAAGGAGCCGAAGCCGAAGTCGAAGCCCAATCAGGAGCTATAGCCAAAGCCCTGAAGGCTATTGATTGCAATCTGGGAATGGATCACTACTTCTGCACCAAACAAACAAATATGCTTGTTCTTATAAACTTTTCTTCAAGTTAGTGTTGGTGATTATGTACTTTCAAGAATTGTTTAGCTTACAAAATTTCATGCTTGGTGTCAGAACTCTTGTATGGATTTGCATATTTTTGCTTTCTGTAATATCAAAGTCTACTGTTCATTCACTCTTCACATGCGATGTCGGGTCATTTTAATCTTACTCTCGAAGAGAGACCCGAATGATTTTCTAACAAACAAAACCTACAGTTTTTTTTTTCAAACAACAAATATATTAATAATTTAAAAACTCAAAAAGAGTACTCGAAGTGTCAACTGACACTATTGGAACCAGAAAAACTGGACCAACTCCCTTTGAATCTGTACATGTGGTCAAGAGTGTATAAACTTCATCAAGGAGACCTAATCGCAAAAACAAAACTCCATTAAGGGAGACACCAACTCTAAATAGGAGAATAACACCCAGGCGTTGCTGAACTAAACGAAAAAACAATAGAGAATGATAAAAAAAAATGACTCACACCTAATAAACAAAATAAAATAGAACCTCCCCTAGACCTAGCAGATGAACCCTATGACCACCTAAACCAACAACCGAGTCACAAACCCAGCAACAAGAACTAAGCTCCAAACCCGAAAACTGCGGAACTCAACTCGCCTAGACGGATTTTCGGCCCATAAAATAAAACCAACAATTCGTTTCACTCCTCTAATGCCTAGTTTGTTTGAAGATAATTAATTCAATGTACGAGCAAAAATGAGTATTCATCTTACACAATAAACACTTTAGACATTTCAGCTTGCTAGCACAATAAATATTATACTACTCGTGTATAGTATGTGTTTTTGTGATGACCAGCGAGATTGTCTCACACATCCATGTCACGTTAAAATTACTTATAGTTGAGATAAAGAAAAGCAACAAACTTAAACGCAAAAAAATTGTTTTCCATGTAATTGTGGTGGGAAATTTAAGGTGGCAAAAAGAGAGCTCTCTTTTTATTCTCCTAATTCTCATCTCCCCCACACCTTAAAATCACAACACCACCAACATTTTTACTTACTCCTACAGTCTTAACCAAACTCATATCTTAAACAAAACAGTTTGCTAGTTGCTTTCATTACACCAAAAAAAAAAGGAGTTACAGAAAAAAGAAATTAGTGAAATTATCTAAAGTTTGTAAACCAGCTGAACTTGTATCCTCAGAAATATTACTCATTTTGCAGCAATGGAGGCTTTCGCCTTCAGTTCTTCCTCTATCACTGTTGCACCTAAAAATGTCGCGAAAAAGGAGAATAACCGCAGAGTTAAAACGAGCACGACAATATGCTGCCAGAAGAGTGGAAAGCATGCAGTTAAGTCTAGTGGGATTCTGTCAGTTTTGACAGATAAGTCATCTGCTTTGATTAGCCCGAATCATGGCCCGGCGTTGATGGAGACCGGCAGTTTGCTTTTGAGCCCCAATGGTAATGATTTGGTGTCGACAAGTGACGATGGCATTGGCATTGTCAAGTTCCTCAGTGGCAAAACATTTCTCATCACTGGTGCAACTGGATTTTTCGGAAAAGGTGCATTTTTAATAGCTTATTCTCCACCCCTAACAAACACACACACACACACACACACACACACATACACACAATAAAAACTAGTTATGTTATAAACGTAAATTATGTTTAATCAACATTTTAATTGGAAATGAGAAGATAGATTAACAGAGTAGTACCTATAATTTTGAAAGTTATATAACTGGCTCTTTTTTCTAATAAGCTAGACCAGATCTCATGTATAGAATACAAGAAAAATGTCATCTTTAACTTATTTTCTTGTTTTCTATATGAATTTCAGTTCTGGTTGAGAAAATACTGCGGACAGCTCCTGATGTTCACAAGATATTCGTCTTGATCAAGCACAAGAACGACGAAACTGCAGCCGACAGAATGAAAAGTGAAGTAAGCAATTTTCTTGATGGCAGCTTATAAAAAAATTAAACAAATAATAATAATAATCAAAATGTATTGTGAGTTTCTACCTTTTTATTTTTCTGAGTTTAGTTTTGGTGTAAAACTCGGTGCCATCTTTTTCCAAATTTTGCAGATTATCAACGCTGAGCTTTTCAAGAATCTGAAACAAATCCATGGAAAATCATATGAAGCATTCATGCTGAGCAAGCTTGTTCCTGTGGCAGGCAATGTCTGTGAGACCAATCTTGGTCTGGATGAAGACGCATCTACTTTCATGGCCGAAGAGGTCGATGTAATCATAAATTCCGCGGCCAATACCACTTTTGACGAGAGGTTACAAACTTTTGTTTCGCTTTTTCACCTCACTTAAGCATAGTTATATAAATAATGGTTTCCTGTTAAATAATTCTATATTCTTCAGGTATGATACGGCTCTGGATATAAACACCGGCGGACCCACTCGTCTCATGAGCTTTGCCAAACAATGCCTTAAGCTGAAGCTCTTCCTACAAGTATCAACAGGCAAGCTGCTTTTTCTTTACCTTCCTGCAAAAATTAGTTCGAACCCTCGTAAAAATGAAAAATTTCCATCCTAATAGTACCCGACTTTGAATAACAAACCAACCACTCCTTATATTATTTGAGTCTAGGAAGTTTTACGAATTTTCGTTGTTAAAACATTGAATTGTATCTCCTCTTTTTTGTTGGTGTATTGCATGATCAGCTTATGTGAATGGACAAAGGCTAGGCAGGATTATGGAGAAGCCCTTCAGCATGGGTGAAAGCATAGCAGGCGAGACTATTGCTGACAAAAACCACCAGCAGCTACCCTTACCCAAATTTAGCGTCGAGGATGAAATCAAGATTGTTTTGGAGTCTAAAAAGGGTCTCGATGCTAATGCACAGCTTCAGAAAATGAAAGAATTAGGTTTGCAGAGGTAACAAAAAATCCTTTTCTAGTAGATCGGTTTAAATTTTCCATCAACTGCTTTAAAAAATCAAGGATCCTCATACCCGAAATATTTTCTGATTGATTTGTTCAGAGCAAAGAAATTCGGATGGCAAGACACGTATGTGTTTACAAAGGCTATGGGTGAAATGATGATAAACAAACTAAGAGGAGACATACCTGTGGTAGTAATCAGGCCAAGCGTTATCGAAAGCACGTACGAAGATCCATTCCCTGGATGGATGGAAGGAAACAGGTGATTTGCTCAATTGCTCAATTTTCTTAAAACAAATTAAAATTTTAAATTATTTACTTCAGGTTGATTTATTAAATAGAACATATTTGTTTTCCAGGATGATGGATCCAATCATCCTGCAATATGGCAAGGGCCAGCTGACTGGATTTCTCGTCGACCCGGATGGAGTTCTTGATGTAGTAAGTAGCTAAAAAGAAAAAAGAGAGACCAAATACAGATGATTATCATTAATTTTTCATCATTATAGCTAGAAATTCAAAAGATCTTTTTATCAGGTTCCAGCAGATATGGTCGTGAATGCAACCTTGGCAGCCATGGCAAAGCATGGGTCAACCGGAAAGCCAGATTACAAAATCTACCAGGTGGCTTCGTCTGTAGTTAATCCTTTAGTCTTCAAGGACTTGGCTAAGTTCCTATACGAACACTTTAGCTCCTCCCCATTCATAGACCAAACAGGTAGTCCAGTCCGCATCCCCAAGATGAAGCTATTCGACTCCATGGATGATTTCTCATCTCACCTCTGGAGGCATGCTATCAACCGAACAGGATTAGGAGCTTTGGCCAACCTCGATGGAAAATTGTCTCAGAAGCTCGAGCTCATCTGCAGAAAATCAGTGGAACAAGCCAAGTACATGGCGAATATCTACGAGTCCTACACTTTCTACGGTGGAAGGTAAAAGAAAATTTGAAAAAACTTCACAAGTTAATCACAAAAACCACCTCTCAAGTTTAGGGGAATCATAAAACAACCCAGTTGTCTTTGGTTAAAAAAAAAAAAAAACAAAAAGAAAAATCCTAGATATAAGTTTCTGTCTTACAAAACAGCACATACTTAAACTAAAGGGGGTATTAGATAGATAATATTTTTTGTAATTCTGAAAATCAGCTGTAATGTAGCCTAATTACAAAGCAAACTCAGAAATTTCCCTGAATCACAATCGAAAAGGAGTGAGTGTACCGCAGAAAAGTACCATCGATTTTGCACTCATGCTAATTAAAAGGTTATTTTCACAAGAACATCTTATTTATATCATATGATCTAATTGCTTTGCAACACATGTAATGGTGAAAAATGGCAGATTTGACAACAGCAACACAGAGAGATTGATGGGATTCATGTCTACCGAAGAGAGACAACATTTCGGATTTGAGGTAGAGAAAATCGATTGGAAAGATTACATCACCAATGTCCATATTCCAGGTTTGAGAAGGCATGTGATGAAGGGACGGGGTCTGAGCAGTTAGATATCTGCTTCAGTGAAAAGAAAGAAGAAGAAAAAAAAAAAAAAAAAAAAAAAAAAAAAACAAGCGCTTTTCATATCTGCAGTCAATTATAGAAGAAACAGATACAAAGCATCTGTCACAACAATAATTAGACTTATGTCATTGTAACAAATGTAAGTTTACGCAAACTTATGCAGATTTGTGTTTGATCTCCCAAGTCTAAAATTTCCTGTGAATAAATAAAGTAACATGTCCCCAGTTGTTCCAAACAGCTAAAAGCAATTGCTAAAAGCCGTTGCCCCAAATAAATAAAGTAACATGTCGAATAGCACGTAAAAACTAATGCAAGTGCTAAAAGCAAAGACAATGAAATGGAGTGACAAATGGAAACATGCCCTGGCCTCATGCAAAACATTTTCAGGCAATATTGAATTACTGATTGCAACAAAATTTGATCAAGTCATTATACAATAAAAGGCAAATAAGCACAATCTACATTTTCAGTCATAAAGCCAGCCTACTCGCCCTCAAAACAAGCATAATATTCCAAGCATTACAAGCTTAGGCGAGTGAACATAGAAGGAACCAGGTCAACAACGGACCAGGCCAGACCAGTGTACTGAAGGAGCCTTATGCCAGTATCAACATCAAATGAGGTCTGCTTGGAGAAAAAGAATAATTTTTGGAGATAGCCTGATTGCTTTATTTTATCTGATCTCTTATCAGCCACCATTAAGTTCGGTACATAAGCTGTTGATCTTATTGGAATTCCAAAAGTATATGCGAGAATCGGGAGAATCCATTTGGCGAGGGCCTTACTACAAAACTTAACAAAAAGAATTGTCGGGATTCCCAATAGTAATCTTCCGACGAATGCAGGAAACGTAAGCTGAGGGGACAATACGCGAGCAACATTTTCATGGTGAAATTGGTGGAACGTCTGGTGGATACCAGTCACCTGGATTGAACACGTCCAATAAGTGAAACTTGCAAGAAGCAATTAGGGGGAATAGAGAGAGATGATATTCTGCACTTACAATTCCCAAGGCAACACCATTGAAGGCTGTGTGAAATTCAAAACTTGGAGTCGGAAATTCAGGCGTTGGGTAAGCAAATAGTAACAAGATGCTAAGGGTGGACCAGAATGATATAACTGCAGACAAGAGACATCTGCGAGTTCAGATATCTGAACCAATACTCGGAAACATATTCAATAACATGGAAATTCAAAGTCATCATTTTACAGTAGCCCACAACCAATTCATTTATCTAAATGGTTTTGGAGCATACTTAAGCAATTATCCACAGATACGCATCCTTTCACACTATTACATTTCCACAATTTTTATCTTCTCCAAGCCAACAAATGTTTTGTAAACTCAACTTGACGTTGAAACTGAAATAAATCACTCAACAAAAATGCAGGTGAGTAAGGGAATTAGCATCTTACCATTTTGACCTGAAACAACAAACTTATCTATATATTCAGATATGGAGAGCCAGGTTGCAAGAATCCCCAGTCCTAGACCCAGACCAGCAATTATATCAATCGGGCTATGCATTCCGAGATAAACCCGTCCTAAAAAATACAAATTTCGTTTAATAGTGGTAGCATTAAGGAAACCAAATGATTATACTGCGGACTTAGGCTTACCCAATCCAATGAGAGCAACAAACAAACAAGCTACCACAAAGCCCAACAGTTTTATCGAGACATCATCACTTTCACTGTAGGCCAGAACATAATGTAACAGGTATCTGGAAAAACACACACCGTAAGTTTCGACATGCGTAAGGATGCAAAAAAGGGAGAAGTAAAATGGAAGTGTATCTTAAGAATACCCTGACAAGCAAACAGTATTAAGAGTGTGCGAAGACGGCAATCCATATTCCATTGCATTATCTTCCTCATCTTTAGTGGCTGTTATTCTCCTAACAGGTGGACACTTCGGCCTGGGTGCCGACACCCCGTCCTATGACCACAATTGTAAGTTGGAATCATATAGTTGGACAAAAGATAACAAAGCATTTTAAACATCTGAGGCACGAGTTTCGGCAGATACCTTTACAGAGTTCCCAATATAATCACAAAAGGCCATCAAGAGTGTCATTTGCCTAGCCAATTTGCAGTGCCCTGTCTAACATAGTCACAAACAATTAAGAACTTGTGTGAAGAGAAAAAAGGGAAGAAGGATAAAAGGAAAAGGACAAAAGCTGTACAAAATGTGCCCACGAGAGAGTGTGAAATACCATACCCAGAAAAGCAATGGAAGAAAGGCAGTGTAGAAAGGCACAGAAACAACACATGACAACCCAGAAAACAAGGAATCCAGATGCCTGTGCTGATATTTCTGCAAAACCCAGTTAAAAAAGCATTGATAATTTCAAACCAACGGCCAACAGCAAGCAAACAGGGAAAGAAAAATGCAATCTTTACATAAATTACTACACATAAACATTACAAAACCTGGATCTTGATGATAGTGGGTGTGTCGGAGAGCACACGGTTGGTCACCCATGGCTGTGCAAAAGATCTGATCTTTTGGGTGATGTTAAAAATTGACGAAATCACAATCCATAATGCAAGCACGCACAGAGAAATTAACTGCCATCGTTCCATTTAAACTCTCTCTCTCTCTCTCTCTCTCTCTCTCTCTCTCTCTCTCTCTCTCTCTCTCCTCTATGCTTTTTCTGGTCTCTTCTCCCCCCTCTTGGAGAAGGTAAGGGGGAAGCGAAGAAATTTCGAAGAACGAGAGATTGTCAACCGTTGGACTAAAATTCCTTTCTTTTGGAGAGACAGTGAGACACAGGATGCAAATTCCTTCTTTTCCTCCTGAAGATTCATATACAGGCGTGATGTTATATAGTTCACGACTTCACGTGATTCCAAACCTGTAATGTAATTTATCAACAAAAGTGCATAATTTGCAATTTTGCACCAAAAAATATGTAAGATTAACGAGTATGGGTAGTCATATCAGTTCAATCGAGAAAATGAATCATACATTCGAGCGTTGAAAAGGCATGTTTAGTTAATGAGTTGGACGTTAAAACTTAAAAATAAAGAAAAGTTTTACTCGTCCGCCTCATATTACTAATAAACAAGCCGAGCTCGATTGCTGATTAGTTTAGTTTGCGAGTCAAACTCGGTTCGTTAAATACTTAAGTTGAAGCTCGTGCACCATGAAATGGATCTCGTTTACCCTCTTATTCATTAGACAACTATTGATAGATTAATCATTGTTTATAGCTTCATTCTCTATTAATATTTGTATAATTGTTGGTTAAAGAATCGTACGAGTCAAACTCGAATCTTAACGATATTGATTATATTAGAAGTTCAATTCATATTCGTCAATCTTAACCGAGATCGAGTTGTTAATTAAATGAGCCTTAAGTGAGCTCAAACTCGGCTCACCTTTCAAACTAGTTGAATAAAGTTTTAGCCTTAACGAGTTGAGGAGAACGGACAAACAACTTGATTTATTTCACAACTCTAATCACATCATTGTCAAAAGACTTCCACATTGGATGTAATTTCTTTTTTGTAACCCATTAGGAGGCCTGAAACCAAGATCCAAAAGTATTTTTTTTCTCTCTTCCTTAAATATTCTTTTTCCCTCAAATTAGCTCGCACATGCCATGGCCTTCCGTCGCCGCCGCCTCATGTTCGTAAAGTCTACTGCGTGTCTCGGTGTTGTTCGCCGCTGACCTCATCGTTCGCCTTACTTGGAGCCACAATTTTCACCAGATGTAGGTATATATCACCGATCTTCCAAGGCACTATGTTGCAGTATGGGGTACCAGAGTTTCAACTGGTGGCGTCTGGCAGGTTTTTGAACAGCCTCCTCGGAGCTTGTCGGAGTTGAGGTAAGGCTAGCTCTTTCCTCATTTCCCCGTCTTTTTTGTTTAGTCGTGGTTGTTGATCCGTGGGCTGAAGGTGGTTGTGTGGCTGGTGGTTTCTAAGTTTGGCTAGAGGATTTATTTAGTGAGAGGGTTGTAGGTGGTCGACATTTGGTTTCTGCTCCAGGGGCGGTTCGTGAGGGAGAAGATTTTGGTCATCTAACGCGGTTCTAGCTAGCCGTAGCTGCACTGAAGTTTTTTAGCAGTGCACGAGCCAGAATCCTATTTGAGTGGACAACTGTCTCTGGTGTCGGGTCGTAGTGCGTTGAATTTTTTTTTTGTGTTTTTTTTTGTAAAGAGGAGAGTACTATTCTATTTTATTTGTGTGCAGTGTTATTGGGTTGTAATTTTTGTGTTTGGTTTTTTCTTGTTTTGGTGTTAGTTCTACTATTGTATGATGAGCTAGATTCTTCTTTTTGGGAACTTTAGTTTGTGTGTTATCGTGGGTGCGTTATTAGTCTCTCTAGGCTCTCGTCGTTGAGTAGTTTCCAACAAAAACTTGATACTTGTTTGGCTTATTCCAGCTTGTCTAGTTGTATCTTTAACTTTATTTTTATCTTTAAAGTCTATTAAAAAAAAAAAAGACTTGTGAATCACAAATAGAAAAAACAACAAAAACTTGTAGCACAATCCAATCCAACATAATAACTAGCACATCTGTCTCCTATATTAATAAGGCAATAGAAGGTTGCTTTGTTAGCTGACACGTGTCCCCTGTGCGGACTAAATCATCCTTATTCTTCTTTCACTTACTATGAATTGTATTTGGGTTTTTTTGTCATTTCACTTCATTTTTAAGATTCCTTTCACTTTACATTGAGTCGCGTGTGCAACATTTTAAATTGACTACAATACCTTAATTAGTAGTTTGCAGTTTATGAGTATTTAGTAAATCACATTTTTTTTTTTTAATTTAATGAGTTGATTTGAAGAGTGTTTATATTTGATAGTGTTATTTTGTTTAGCTATTTTACACTTAACTACTTCTCTACTTTGGTGTTTCTTGTGTGCAAAAAAACTTTTCTTGCTGGTCAGTTTGTAAAACTTATCTTATGTAAACATTTCTTTTGGTTTTACTGTTTGTAGCATCTGTGTATTAATAAATTCTAAGTTTGTACTGCTTTTGGTCTTCCATATTTGTCATAGCAACTTATGAACATTGCTTATGTTCATTCCAGTTTGCCAGGCCATTGAAAATATATTTTCTATTCATGTGGTTATGTTGGAACATTTAAGTTTTAAGTGCTTTTGGTCTTCCATTTAAGTTGATAGTCCTTTACTTTGTTGTTTCATGTGTTCAAGAAAACTTACTTTGTTGATGTGTTTATAAAACTTTATTCTGTAAAACTTACAGTGTTCTTTTGTTCTCATCGTTTCTATATTATTTTGGTTTATTAGATTTTAAGCTTTTGGTGCTCTTGGTATTGGATATCTGTCATATCATCAACAGGTGCTTCTGCTCATTTGAGTTTGGAGTATTCCAGGTAATTCAACAATATAATCTCTAATATGCTCACTCTTGATGTAGTTATGTGGACTATATTTATTCTTACAACTGGCTTTTCAAGGTATATTTATATGTTTTTCTTGCAGAAGGTGTTAATTTAACTGGACTTAGTATCATCACTTGGGTAGTCTTTGTATATTCACTTGCTGCGTACCAGGTAACTCTTGCCTTTGAAAATATAATTCTTGAAAGTAGTTTACTTTCTTTTTGTACGTGGTAGCTCTTTTTTTCCGTTTCTTTGTCAATAGGTATATTTTGTTGTCTTTTTTTTTTTTTACGCTGCCATCTATTTGTTGTTTGCATTTCATTCTAGATCGCCGCTGTATATATCTTTTATTTTTCCTTAAGATTTTGTGTTGGTGCAGTTAAAATGAGGCCAATTTCTATGCCTATTGTATTAGAAAGATCAGAAGGTACATATATTGCATCAAAGAAACGACGTAGAGCTGAAAATAAATTTATTGAAAATAAATTTGATATGATGCACATTACAATTACAGGTACATAGACCACAAAACTGAAGTTGCACGTCTAATTGAAGATAAAGCATTCGCGAATACCTCTATCATTTTGTCACCGCCGAATAGCAATGATGTTATCAAAGTTCAAGTAGCTTTATGTTCACTTAACAAAACAGGTAGTGTCGACAACACAATGTTCAAAGTATATATTATTGTATATTTATATGTCGACAAACTAAAATAAATTATTGCTTTATTACAGGTAAAAGCTACATGGGTGCAAGGTCAAGTAACCATGGTCACAAACCAAAAATCCTTGTGGTTCAGTGCATGTGGACATTGTCACACTAAGCTTAAAGTTCCAGTTGGTTGGGAAATGAAATGCACGATATGTAACGGAACGGGAGTATTAAATGCACTCATTTATGCTGAAGATGCTGAAAAATTGATACCATTTACTGCATTACAGATATATGAGGCTGAGAAAGAGGTGCACATCATATTTCAGTGAAAATACGCTACCAACACACTTGATCATTTGTATTGCTGAATTTCTAACAACCTGTTTATCACCACTTTATTAGGGCAACGATTTGCTGTCAGAAATCATAACAAACTTCTAGAAGAAAACTATCACATGTTTCGTTAGGCATTATGAGTCATATTATGGATATCCTATGGACACCTACGCCATAGTGAAACTATACTTAGAAGATGAGATTCATGGAGAGGCAAGGCAACATGCAAGAATGGTACACATTAAAATTCATGCAATTTTGTAAAGTCATATTCATTTTTGTTTCACCATAACTGCTAAATGTACAACTACAGCAAAAACAAATTGCGGCAGAGGAGCATCTGATAACATCAACTGGTAGCTAAATTCCATTTGAAGGCGATGAATCGCCTTACTTCAGAATGGAAAGGGGAGCAGAAAACCAACTAGCAAGAAGCTCCACCAAGCGAAAACTAACCTTCAGCAGCCCAAATGATTCCAAGGATGAAACCGACCAGGAAAAATTTCCAAAGCAGCTTAGTGGCACTTCAAATGTGGAACGAAAAGCTTTCAATCCGAAAAAACCACGTATTTTGGATATTTAACTTGCACATTATATTTTAGTCATTTGCTTTTGTTAGGGAGATGACAATGAACCCCAACTTTGTGGCATTATCTTAGAAATATTATTGCTGATTAAGTTTATAGTAGTGCACCTGCTTAATGAGCATTAGTATTTTGTATTTTGATTTAGCCACATTACAAAAATACATTTTGCATAAATGACTGCAATATGTCTATGTGTATGGTTTGTGTGTATGGTCTATGTACCTTCAGGACTTTGGACAAGCATATTTTGATGTAATATTTTGGTGATTTATAAAAATTATTGTTGTTGTATAAGTTCCAAATTTTTTTGCATATGGATGCTACACAAATAATGTAATCACTGGGTCGGCTGTGCATTGCACAACCGAAGTCTGCTAGTTCAAAGAATAAACCAATACCCGCATGCTTCAAACTCTCAATTCTAAAACTCCATTTCAAAACCAAATTGCTTACTTAAGTTAATTTGCTAAACAAAATTTGTTACACAAAATTAATATGTTACACATAATTAGTTATTTTTTAAACAAAATATGTTACACAAAATTATTGCAAAACCAAATCTAAAACCATATAAATATGTTACACAAAAATTAATAAACAAAAGAAATTAAAGAAGCCGAACAAGTTTTGACATAAAATGTTGA